TTTAATCAATGTTAATTAATATTAATTACTACTAATTAATATTAATTATCGTTAATTAATATTAATTATCGTTAATTAATATTAATTATTGTTAATTAATATTAATTATTGTTAATTAATATTAATTGCTAATAATTAATATTAATTATTGTTAATTAACATTAATTATTGTTAATTAATATTAATTACTAATAATTAATATTAATAATCGAAAGAAAAAGCATTTAGATGAAGCAATATCTACTTACGACAAGAGTCTGGTATTCTGTAGAATCATCGATACCTTCAATGTCTTTTAATGAATTTTTAGTGAATCTATAATCATTTAAAGATCCATCCAGAAGCAATTCACCTTTATAAAATGTAATGAACGAAAAAAAAAAGGTTACATATTAATTATTATATTTATTGTAAATAAATAAGAGAAAAAATATCGAGAAACGTACTTTTTATTTGAGGTGAAGCACCTCTTAACAATTGATAAAAGATATGAAAATTACGTTCTTCTGGTGTTTGATAAGTTACACGAGATTTTTCAAACAGATAACGTTCGATATTAGCACCCACGATTTGACCAGATGAATTAAATTCAATACGAATAAATTTTCCCTTATAAAAATTGAATAAAGTTTTAGCAACAATAATAATAATAATAGTAATAATAATAATAATAAGATTAAATAAAAAACTCACAAATCGCGAAGAATTATTATTCCGAATGGTTAATGCATTTCCAAAAGCTTCAAGTATAGGATTTGTTTGAAGGATTTGTGATTCGAGTTTACCAAGTATTTTCGTGTTAGAACTATCACCAGCGATCGCGGCGATATATTGTATGACCCGTTTAGTATTTTCAGTTTTTCCAGCACCAGATTCGCCACTAAATAATAATCAGTATACATAAACATTTGTTTAGTAAAAATAAAATATTAATACATACTACATAATACATAATACATCATATATGCCATATATGAGAAAATATTTACGTAATTAATATGGATTGATTTTCACGTTCTTGTAACATTTCATGATACGCGGAATCCGCGATTGCATATATATGAGGAGGCATTTCATGATGCCGCTTGTTCTTGTAATATCGAATTATTTCATTGGTATAAATCGGAAAATTTTGATAAGGATTAACGGCGACCAAAAAGAGGCCGGAGTACGTCTATAACATCATTTTACATAATTTACAAATAATTTATATATAAGATATAATTTATATATAATTTATATATAATATATAATTTATAAAATAATTTACGTAATTTATGTATAATTTACATATTAATACGATTGAGTTAGCTTTATGTGAAGATAGCTTTATATGTTACTTACATATATCAAGTTAGAAAGATATCTTAGTCGAAGGTTATGAACAACCGAAGCCTCATTTAGATATGTAAGATCAGCCATATCTTCCACCTTATCAAATTTAGGTGGATTCATTTTATCAGTTTCACTAACATTAACTATTCGTATCTTTAGACAGAAACAAGATCATATTGTTTTAAATAATTAGCCAATTTAAATATATATTCAAAATAAAGAGGAATTGAATAACAAATTTACCGAATCATCATTCAAGTGGACTTCCACTTGTTCTCCCATATCCTTAGTTATGTAACCTGCGACATAACCCGCTTTTTCATCCTCGACCCAGATCCACTTTTTTTCATTAAAAGCAGCCTGGGCAACAGTATTATTAACATCGGCATCACTAGAACCATTAACGAGAAGTCGAAGAGCTTCTCCACCAGGTGAATGAATCAAAGAATTTTTTCTGGTATTTTTGATCGTTATCATCGTTATATGAGGTTAGAAACGGATAGCCGTAGTATACACAACTTAAGGAATTTAATTGGGAGAAAAGAAATAAAGAGAACATACGAAGCAAATGACACTATATTTATTATAATTAATTTTGAAAAAGGGGGGTTACGTATCGTCAAATTTGACTAGATTGGTATGTTAACTATCTTACAAACTCATTGTTAGATCATGCAGTCAGGGACCTAAGTTGAATGGATCGGTAGTAACCTATCGAACAAAGCTTATTATTCATTTCAATAACCAAAATTTGGGAACGTATATTTTTATAATACACATTAGTGTCACATGATTAAAGGATTCCAATCGATTTTTGGACTTGTGTAATTAAAGTTTTTCTATATAATAAATTTCTCAATTACGTAACGTTACGAAAATACAAGTGAATTAAATCCCTGAAAAATCTACGTAAATGGCTCCTTGTACCATATCATTTGACCATTTATTTCAATGATTGTTACATTACTATTTATAGAATTCTCCGATACATTCTATTTCAGATGTTAAAAATTCTTTAGTTGATCCAAGAAATACGTAATGTATGTTTGTATGTTTGTAGGGGTTTGTTTCGAATAGTAATGATTGTCACGGTGATACTAGAAAAGGTTGATTGTCACGGTGATACTAGAAAAGGTTACCTTAGCATATAGTATATAAATTCATGGTTTTTTATTAATATCATCATAATGCATTATGTGAATTTCCGATACATCAACAAATCATTGAAATTGTAAATTAGAAGACATTAACAATCTTATTAATATCGTTCATAATGATTATCAGCTAAAAAGATTTAGAAAGATATAGTATATAAGACGAAAGAATCATTACGTATTGTTTTTCTTGATGCTCACAATATGAAAAAAAAACTTAAAACGGTTTGTACTACTGATTCAAATGTAACCTGTATACCAATTCATTGTTTTCGAGTACTTAATTATAGACTTGTTTAAGAATAGAAATCGTCTAAGTACGGATGTGTTAATATCGTATTTGGCAAATCTTCGAATCAACCTTCTGAATAATTATCCAGCGAATAAATAAATCTTATTTATGTGAAATCTCTAGCTACAGTATTTGCTGCTTCGCATTTAACTATTCATTCGACGAATATTCGAACGGATATATAAGGTAGATTAGTCATGTCACAAAAAATTGGCAGTCACACGATATACAAGCCACTCAGACGGCTATTAATTTTATACTTATAATTCGGGATCGTAAGAACTTTTTTAGATCTCGAATAAGTAGCTTGAATATATTATAGTTATTGTATGGGTATATTGAATAACCCAGTTACACACACGAGTTCATATTTAAATCCGTGGCCAAAGTTCATAGAAAGACTTTTATATGATAATTTTATATTATTTTATATAGTTTAAAGCACTTTTTAAAAAAAATCAAACTACAAAAAATAAATAAAAAATATATAAGTTTATATAGAAAGTTTTATTAGAGTCGTAGGAACTCCACTATTAAAAATAGTCAAAATCTCATTTTGTTTTAAAGAAGTTAGCATAATTACGACTTCTGAAAAATAGGTTCTCTGAAATAAAAAGGGATTTTGATTATTTTCAACTGTAGAGTCATACATCCCTAACAAAACTTTCCAATTTTTTTTTTAAAAGTACTTTAAAACTGTAAAATTAAATTGATTTAAACAGCCAATCATATGAAAGTCTTTCTATGATGACCGAATATGAATCCGTATGTAACCAGGTTATTTATTATACAATATATCCTGCATATATAGTTGGATATAACTATTACGTCACTGCCAATTTTTTTGTGATGTGACTAATCTACCTGGATATATGTTAGCCTGAATTCAGTGTTTTGACCGTGTCAATTTGTAGAATCTTGATTTTATCATGATACTAATTGAACTTGGTGATATAACCTGAATTATTCAAATATTATTCGAATATATAGGAGAAAATTGGTAATGCTTGGTCTTTAGTTACAACTTATAATTACAATCTCTACCATACTGTATTTTTATCAATA